TTTTTTGAGTAATATTGCGTACTTCATTAAACACATTATTATCAACGATATCGAGGAAATCCTTAATGATTTGGATATGACTTTGTCTGGGGAAACGATGCACGTTCATGGTCTACTTACAGCTGCTATATTCGTTAAAAGTTATAGTATAAACGCCAAAAGTCGTCGAACTGTTAGAAACCTAAAAATAGCCTACAAACTATTACAAAAAAGTCAAATTAACTGCTGGTGATTTTTTTTTCACATTTCTCATTATTTTTCTGCCGAAGCTCAAAATCAGAGGTGTCAAAAATAACATTTAAAATCGATATTTCGTCTTCCAGAAATCGCTATTGCAGGAGCTTTTCGTTCGATACCAGAACTAATCAATTGGGTTGGTGGACAACAAGAGATAAAAGTCTCTATAAAAACGCTATTTACATAAACAGTATGACACACTTTAAATTTTAACACTGAAAACCAACGAACTATTTGAAACAAAAAAAGCGAAATATTGTTATAACAATCAACTTAACTGTATATGTTGTTTTTCTACATTAGTATAATATATTAGATACATAAATAGCGATTCATAGTGTTTTGTTTATCATCGTCCAACCGAAATAACGAGTTCTAGTATTGAACGAAAAGCTCATTGGGCAACGACGTAAGGAAGACAAAGGATACATCTTAAATGCTCTTCTTACACGCCCCCAATTTTGTGCCACAATAGACAAATTAAAGTAAAAGTATAAAAACTAATGAACGTCTACGGTTAACGTGATCTTTAAGAACTCTTATACATAACCGTTAACATTACATTTTTATCACACATTCTTGTAATATGTACTGGACAGGATGTTTTCCATAAAAACTGTATTTTTTACGTTTTATTTTAACACGTAATCATCGTGTCTTTTTGTGGCTACACTTTGTAGATTAAGAGATTTACGTTTCTCTAACAAAATGTAGTAACAATCGGGTTATATTCATATTGACGTTAACAACATACAATCGACTTAACAGTGTTTTCTGTGCTCCAGGTTCTGAGGAACTAATTTCCAGCGAGGAGGAATACAGTCGCACTTACAACAGACTTCGAGCACCGTCTCATCATCATTATCCTCCTCGAGAAATGTACGTGGGAGAGTGGGAGTGAATTCTTGGAAGAATATGTATTAAATATTAAAGAAACTGACAGTAGGATTATTTATCTGGCAACCAGGATTGGACTACACAACGCTAATAACGTTTTTTCTCAGTCATTTGTATTTATCCAACCGTTATGTTGTGATACTTGAGAATTATTGGACAGCCAGTGACCTCTACAATTAGTAAATAACAGGCAAAAAAGCTGACAACTCAAGATAACTCGAGTGAGAACCTTCATGACTATGACGTTTTGAAATGTAGTTTTATAATAACGTAGTTGTTTTCTTACACTGGTTAAAGATATTGTTGTTAAAGTCGCGTCCGAAGGCTTACTAAAGTATTTAAATAGTTGTTAGTATAAGTCAGTTAACCCTTAAAAAAAAAGCACGAAGCTGTAAGAGAGCGTCTCAAAACTTTTTCTTATAATGCCTCAACTGAACAATACCTTTATTAATATCACGTCTACCCCTACAAATAAAAAAAATGTTAACCAATCTTTTGTATTGCTATCATGCGTTTAAAGGGGAGGGGGGGATTATTTCATTTCAATGACAAGAGAAAAAAACAATACAAATTATGTTGAACCACAGTCATTCCATTAGTTCTTCTGGTGGATGTTTTGTTTTTAAGCCTAGAATTTAAGGTTGACCTTGAATTTGACATACGGTTACCGTCCTCCGTGAGGTTATATATAACCATTGTTTTCTTGAGATGACGACTTTCGTAAGTGAAGTATATTTTTATTCACTATATATCCAACAAGGGAATCGGTAGGCTTATACTTACACACGCGCATGCACTTTGGGTGTTAGTGTTCTGTTTAAAGAATTTGTGATTTATAAGTTAAGCCTACAGGGGATCGAATTTGGACGGATGGGACAGTAAGCGAACACTAAACCGATAGGCATCTTGTAAAGCTGGCCGAACCTCGTGAGGTATTATTGGGTTTACGGCCGAACATATCGATAACAGCGAGGGTACCCAACCAATAAAATAATACATTATAATTAAATATACTTGTCATAAGACATTAGTATTAGGCCTATTATATTTTTAACGTTGCATTATTTATCTATGCACTTGGAAGAATTCTTGAAAATCCCTAATGGACAAGATAAAGAAAATATAATAGGGTTAACACTAATGTCTTATGACAAATATAGATGATTGTAGTATTGCTTCGCCATCTTGAAGAAGTTATTCACACCATAACGATACATTCTAATCTTTATATAATAAAGAATATTTAATTAGTTACCGGGTTGTTGTTTTTATTTTCGCTCTGAGTAAGTAGCTTGCTCTGATCAGAAATGATTATTAATTACTACTGGCCTGCTGTCAAGACAACCTGATGTCGGGCCGAAATTATAATTACTACTGGCCTGCTGTCAAGACAGCCTGATGTCGGGCCGAAATTATAATTACTACTGGCCTGCTGTCAAGACAGCCTGATGTCGGGCCGAAATTATAATTACTACTGGCCTGCTGTCAAGACAGCCTGATGTCGGGCCACTCTAAGGTTATATGATAAATTCAATGTTCTTGGATCAAAAACAAATATTAAAATCTTTTAAACTTGTATTAAAACAGTTTTGTCATAGCTGACTTCTCTTCAACTACTTAACGTAAGTGTCATGGAAGAAACCCTAACGGTATAAAAGGGAACTTCTAAATAATTTTTGAAGAACTAGGTATGCTCTTATAAAGGTGCTGCAACTAGAAGCAAAGAAAAGAAAGATTAGCATAGAAGCCATTTTCTTCACTTCTATGAATTGTTTGTAATGATAATTTCAATCTGATGAGAAGATAGAAAAAAATATTGGTTGATAGTCATCATTACTACACGATTATTATGCTATCACTTAGGTTTAACTATTAATTTAAGGTTTTTTTTATCTTTATATTTAGATACTTTGAAAGACGTATTTGAATATAATATGGCTTATCTTTAAACTTAATATTAAGTCACAACAAGATATGTTCATATATGCGTAAATAACGATGTCCAAGTCTAAGTGTCATAATAAAAAAACAAAAAACCTTACATAGTTGGTAGAGTTTTTTTTTTCTTTCGGCACGTGTAAGTTTTATGATACGAAGGTGTGAAATATTACGATATCCACAAATATAATTAATTTACAGATTTTACAAAACTAGAATAATCTGGATGAGACAGTTTCCATTAATGCGATGTAAGGTCTACATGCATTTCGTTAGGCTTAGGACAAGTTAATGGTAAGGTTTAGATACACTTCGTTAGGCTTAGGACAAGTTAATGCAAAAGTTTACATACACTTCGTTAGGCTTAGGACAAGTTAATGCTAAAGTTTAGATACACTTTGTTAGGCTTAGGAAAAGTTAATGCTAAAGTTTAGATACACTTTGTTAGGCTTAGGACAAGTTAATGCTAAAGTTTACATACACTTCGTTAGCCTTATAATAAGTTAATGCATCACCCAGTAACAAAGGCTCAATTTTTAACAGATGAACTAATTATATAACAACGTAGCGTCCATTACTTTTCGTCTTCCGGTTGCTTAGCGGTAAGCTTGAGGGCATATAATGCTAGAATTTGGGATTTGATTTTTGTGTCAGACACATTACCGATAGTTCGTTATGCGTGGTAACTGGCAATGGTTTCTAATGGTGTAAAAGCCACTTTGTTATATACATATCCCAAATACAAGATGAACCAACCCAGAAACAGTTACAGCTGTATATACCACATGATTTTTAAACCTGCGTTATTAGTAGTTTCAGATGACTTGCAGGTGTAGTTTCTGTTGTGTGTACCAGAACATATATAACTACGTACCAGTGCTAAGGTTCAACTAAAGTAGGTATGAAGTGTGTATGTATATATCTTTTACTTTGACAAAATGGGGTTGTTTTTTTTCTGTTTACTAAATAAATAGTTTTGCAGTATGTTTATCGTGCCACCAATTATTACCAATGAACTTAAAACTAGTAGAAAAATCTGGATATTCTATGTACAACAGCTGGTCCCCCCTTCTTTTTTTAACTTGTGAATTGGAGTTAGTCAATACTGAGGAGACTTACCGCTAGAGGGAGCTGTTTAAACATGGAATTACACATACCTTTGTTTTCTTTTCGTTGTTAAGCACAAAGCTACACAATTCGCTAATTGTGCACACCGCGGGTATCGAAACCCAGTTTTTAGTGTTATATGAGATTGTAAGTGTAGAACGTGATAGATAGTATTACACCTATAAGTAGAACAGTGAGTCCTCTTGTATTTACGGACCGCTTGTTGTCCACGTAAAGTAGGATATTCTTAGGGTAATAGAATATGTCTAACACAGTGGATGTATTGTACATCATCAGTACTAGGATGTATTGTACATCATCAGTACTAGGATGTATTGTACAACATCAGTACTAGGATGTATTGTACAACATCAGTACTAGGATGTATTGTACGACATCAGCACTAGGATGTATTGTACGACATCAGCACTAGGATGTATTGTACGACATCAGCACTAGGATGTATTGTACGACATCAGCACTAGGATGTATTGTACGACATCAGCACTAGGATGTATTAAGTTAAAGATCGTTAAAAATCTCCTGTTGATGTAAAATACAATAACATCTTATTTAGTGAAGTTTGTTTTAGTAAAAACATAAAGCCTAGTCAGTAGGTAACACGTGTTAGCTTGTATTGACATGGTAAAACATAACTCCTTGGCAATAGGTAACACGTGTTAACTTGTGTTGACATGGTAAAACATAACTCCTAGGCAGTAGGTAACACGTGTTAACTTGTGTTGACATGGTAAAACATAACTCCTAGGCAGTAGGTAACACGTGTTAACTTGTGTTGACTATGGTAAAACATAACTCCTAGGCAGTAGGTAACACGTGTTAACTTGTATTGACATGGTAAAACATAACTCCTTGGCAATAGGTAACACGTGTTAACTTGTGTTGACATGGTAAAACATAAAGCCTAGGCAGTAGGTAACACGTGTTAACTTGTGTTGACATGGTAAAACATAACTCCCAGGCAGTAGGTAACACGTGTTAACTTGTGTTGAGATATTAAAACATAACTCCTAGGCAGTAGGTAACACGTGTTAACTTGTGTTGACATGGTAAAACATAAAGCCTAGGCAGTAGGTAACACGTGTTAACTTGTGTTGACATGGTAAAAACATAACTCCTAGGCAATAGGTAACACGTGTTAACTTGTGTTGACATGGTAAAAACATAACTCCTAGGCAATAGGTAACACGTGTTAACTTGTGTTGACATGGTAAAAACATAACTCCTAGGTAACACGTGTTAACTTGTATTGACATGGTAAAACATAAAGCCTAGGCAGTAGGTAACACGTATTAACTTGTGTTGACATCGTAAAACATAACTCCTAGGCAGTAGGTAACACGTATTAACTTGTGTTGAGCCTAGGAGTTATGTTTTACCATGAATAGGTAACACGTGTTAACTTGTGTTGACATGGTAAAACATAACTCCTAGGCAATAGGTAACACGTGTTAACTTGTGTTGACATGGTAAAAACATAACTCCTAGGCAATAAGTAACACGTGTTGACATACACGTATTTTTAAATTTAACAACGCCCTTTAAAGGACATTTGACCAAACATTAACAGGATTTCACTGATTTGTTCAGTATATTCTAAATGCTTTTGATAACCACCGTTAATAGTTACTTCGGTGCCTCCTAGAAGTTATATACATTACCATTGTCGAATGTCACGAGGTTTTTAGTATCACTACCACCAGGGATCAGTTTGAAACTTGGTGGTAGCACAGCGATTGCCAATTGTCGATGGATAATTTAGGGGGGTCAGTTTGGTAACCTCCAAAAGCTTATTACCAAGAGATAGTTCTAAATGTTCCAGGTGTTCTTAGTATCCTTTAGGAGGTATTAGCATGGCTATCACCAGGGGTCAGTTTGGTAACCTACAAAAGGTTATTACCAAGAGATAGTTCTACATGTTCCAGGTGTTCTTAGTATCCTTTAGGAGGTATTAGCATGGCTATCACCAGGGGTCAGTTTGGTAACCTACAAAAGGTTATTACCAAGAGATAGTTCTACATGTTCCAGGTGTTCTTAGTATCCTTTAGGAGGTATTAGCATGGCTACCACCAGAAGTCAGTTTGGTAACCTACAAAAGGTTATTACGAAGAGAGAGTTCTAAATGTTCCAAGTGTTCTTAGTATCCTTTAGTTAAAGCACAACTATCACCAGGAGGCGGTGGTACACTCCCTAGAATCTTTAGATACAGCTATCACTAATGGACAACGAAGTGGCTTCTAGGAGGATTTTGTACGTAGTGTGTTTGATAATGTTTTGACCAGAGTATTCCAATCATCCCATTGTACCTACAAAACATTTTCTTGAAATATAAAACCAACTCGGTACTTGAGAGTTAAATGGGTTTGTCTAAAGTTAGGTTATTTTTTTTTCTTACTAGATAAAGTCGGTAAACTAACACTTTACTACAAACTAAGTTTCGTTCTGACGTAATATTGGTGACAACTATTTCAACCTGACTTATAAAAACATTCCCCAAACTGGTACAACGAAAGATTAATAACCTTATCCATACGTACATTAAAATTTAATAACGCTCAAAATGTTTAATTTTCAATCAGAAGAAAACATGCAACTAAAATTGAATTTAAGATGTTACCTTGTTTCATCTAATTATTAGAAAAACCGTTGTTTCTATCTTTCACTTCAAATTCAAAGAAATTATTAAAACTGCCCAAAGAAGAAGATAATAATTACTTTTCAGCCGAAGGAGTCTCATCAATTTTAACTGTATTGTAATTTTTAAAGAAACAGCAAATAAAACTGGACGACAGTTTTGTTTTATGAGTATTAAAACTTTCGTGATAAGTTATTGACGTTTCCTAAACAAAATGGACGACAGAACGACAACAAAAATGACATAAAACGACTGACAAAGAGGTGGATTTAAAACATTATGTCCAATGCAAAGTTTGTGATAAATGAAAGCGTTACGGTTCTAAACAGCCTCTCTTGTCAGACTGAACAATCTTTTAAACACTCGGTGCTTCGCAGCATTTTTTTGCTCCCGATAAGCAAGAATGCAGTGATAAATCAATTAAAACTTCCCATTAGTTTCAAGGTCTTTGTAAAGTACAATATCAACTGACATTAAACTCACTCCTACTGTGCCATTTGGCGGGATGAAATGAAATCTGACAAGTTCACCTTGAACCGTTCCTCCCCTCGTTGGGTAGAAAAATTCCATTATGTACATGAAATAAACAAATATTATTTTATTTTTCGTTATTTTGGCCCTTTACGTCTCGTCTGGCCCAAGGACAAATCCAATAATGCATAGGCCTTTAATACGTATTTATGGGTACCTTTCAATTGTAATGCATGTCTAACAAGGAAGATGCCATTTTAAAATCATACATCTATCAGTTATCCGATTGTTCTCGTTTGTTTGTTGAATAAAGGAAACTACATTCTTTTCAAATAGAAAACCAGTTATTTTACTAGTATTTATTAGCAAGAGTAACTGTTCTAGTTGGGGTAAAAAGGTGTAATAGAATCTTTACTGTTGATTCTTAATATCAAAAGTTAAGTTCCCTTTGTGTGTTGTTAAACATCCGAAACTACCTTTTAGTTTGCTATAAACCCTTTTCCCCAAATAGTTATGTATCGTTGTAGGCTATGTTGTTCAACCATGACAAATTATTAAACACCCGAAACTACCTTTTAGTTTGCTATAAACCCTTTTCCCCAAATAGTTATGTATCGTTGTAGGCTATGTTGTTCAACCATGACAAATTATTAAACACCCGAAACTACCTTTTAGTTTGCTATAAACCCTTTTCCCCAAACAGTTGTGTATCGTTGTAGGCTATGTTTTTTTTAGTTTAGAATTTTTTATTGTTGTTTCGCCAGAGGGAGTGTTGATAAAACGTGAGGAGCGCGAGGCTTAACGTTTGGATTTTTTTCTTGAAAGGTCAGAATATACTTCGAAGGTATAGAAATACGAATTAGGTAAGAGTAGGCTGTAGAGATTGTTGATTGAGGAGTCTCTGGGTTGGTTATTGAGTCGGCGAATGTGTTCGTTTGTTACTGCTAGTAAATTCAGTACAGTGAATTTTGAGTTTGTGCTTCAATGAAGTGCTAGAGATCCAGAAAGATTTAATTAGATAACTGTTCAACCAGAATGGAGGAAGTAAGTCACTGAACACAAAGCATTTCAATTGCAACTTCGAAGGAAATACTGTACACTAAAGTCGCTAGAAAACCGAAACTATTACCAAAAATATTGATAATGATTGGAAAACAAAGACATTACATCCGAGATCGTGATTTATCAACTACAGTTGACAAACCAAACGGATGATTACGAGAAGATTAGGATATTGCACCCACTCCAAATTTGATGAACAGTGCCTTACTTGTAGAAACCAGTCCGTGAGTCAATAGGTTTATTGATGGAAATAGGCACTGTTTTAACGTCACCATTGTTTGGACTGATCTGGTTATGAAAACTGAGAAATCTTTCACAGATACGAAGTAAAAAAGATGGATTGGTGCGAACAGCCAGAGTTCATAAAGTTCCAGAAAAAAAAGAAAGGGGGAAGCTCCCCCCTACACAACATGATCTGTGGATAATAGATGTAGGAGAATAGACTTCATGTGGAAACACGGGTGGGAGGTTCGAGTTGCGCCAAACATTTTTACAACATATGACAAGGAAATCCCACGAATTGCTTGACATTTACATAACTAGAGGTTGGACTTCCAGTAGTAACAAGGATGGAAGCACAATGTAATGGACACGTGCAATCTAATGCAGAACACGGAAAAACAGGTGGTCAAAACTAAAGGGCACCCATAGCGATTGTCTTTGGAAGCAGGTCGATGAAAGAATGTCCAAATGGTTAACTTCCGAGAAGACTTCACCAGAAGTAAGTGAGCCTGCTGAAGGCCCAGTCGAGATCACTTCCAGAGTATCACCAGGAATAGAAACATCAGTGGATTCCCTCGACCATTTACCTGGACAGAACTCACCAATTTGTATGACAACAAGTATGGATGAAGGGACAAGAAGTCACCCTACATTTGTACCATAAGCCACAGAAACCGCCAGAAGGATTTGATGACTGGACATTTTAGGGACAGTAAACAAGTTAAGAAAGAAGATGAAGATAGTACTTGTTCCACATATTTAACAAACTATTGTATTGTCGATATTTATGAATATCAGTGTTGTTATTGTTGTTTGTTAGGGTTCTGTTATTGTAAATTATGGGAGTTTAAAATTAATTGGCCATTTTTGTGTAACAGGACTTCACATTGCAGAGAAGAGGCAGTGTTTTAGGTTATTTTTTTCTTTAGACCTAGACGTTTATATTGTTGTTGCGCCAGAAAGAGTGTTGAGGTCTCATAATATGCACGTGACTCAACCTTTGAATTTTTTTAAGTTTAGAAAATGACTTGAAAAGTACAAAAAGGCGAGTTAAGTAAGGGTAGGTTGTAGAGATTGTTTATTGATTAGTGAATATTGGTTGGATTGGTAATAGGGTTAGTGAATACGATAGCCTGTTAGTGTCAGTTCAGTACAGTAAATCTTGAACTTGTGTTTCGAAGAAATACCAGCGTAGGCGCTGGAGAAGGAGGACCAACTGGCCATCACCTACCCCACTACTAACAGCAACAATGTATGTTTGAAAATTGTTGTAAACTCTACGCATTTCTGTCTTTCTTTCGTCTATTGACAAGCTGTCTATGAACGAGCGGCAATTTATTTATTACCGATAGGAGGCTAAACATCGACAACTGGGGCTCAAGTTTCGATCTTTTATTTCATTTTACCCAAAACAAATGTTATTAAAACTTGTATCAAAAGAACACTTGAAAAACCTTAACATTTCAGTTATTTTTGGAAAAAAAAAGTGGGGATATATCACAATTTCTCAAAAGTTGATTTCATGATGTCATTAGTTCAGACGTTTACTGGGGCTACAATTATTGCTCAGGAAATTGTCGCAGTTCTTCGATTGGTTGGCTCACCCACCACCTCATACACTTGTGCCCTAGTTAAACTAGTTTACGTTCGTCATTAGTAGATAAAGTAGTCACCCATTCAGTTTAACTAGGGCTAATGAAGAACGTAAACTGTACATATAGTAGTCACCCATTCAGTTTAACTAGGGCTAATTAAGAACGTAAACTGTAGATAAAGTAGTCACCCATTCAGTTTAACTAGGGCTAATGAAGAACGTAAACTGTAGATAAAGTAGTCACCCATTCAGTTTAACTAGGGCTAAAGAAGAACGTAAACTGTACATATAGTAGTCATCCATTCAGTTTAACTAGGGCTAATGAAGAACGTAAATTGTACATAAAGTAGTCAGGTACATAAAGTAATCATCCATTCAGTTTAACTAGGGCTAATGACGAACCTAAACTGTACATATAGTAGTCACCCATTCAGTTTAACTAGGGCTAATGAAGAATGTAAACTGTACATATATTAGTCATCCATTCAGTTTAACTAGGGCTAATGAAGAACGTAAACTGTAGATAAAGTAGTCACCCATTCAGTTTAACTAGGGCTAATAAAGAACGTAAACTGTACATAAAGTAATCATCCATTCAGTTTAACTATGGCTAATGAAGAACGTAAACTGTACATATAGAAGTCATCCATTCAGTTTAACTAGGGCTAATGACGAACGTAAACTGTACATAAAGTAATCATCCATTCAGTTTAACTATGGCTAATGAAGAACGTAAACTGTACATAAAGTAGTCACCCATTCAGTTTAACTAGGGCTAATGACGAACCTAAACTGTACATATAGAAGTCATCCATTCAGTTTAACTAGGGCTAATAACGAACGTAAACTGTACATAAAGTAGTCACCCATTCAGTTTAACTAGGGCTAATGAAGAACGTAAACTGTAGATAAAGTAGTCACCCATTCCTATATGTACAGTTTACGTTCGTCATTAGCCCTAGTTAAACTTAGTCATCCATTCAGTTTAACTAGGGCTAATGAAGAACGTAAACTGTAGATAAAGTAGTCACCCATTCAGTTTAACTAGGGCTAATGACCTGAGCAGTTTGGACTAACATTTGAGCCCCCCAGTGGCACAGCGGTATGTCTGCGGACTTACAACGCTAGAAACCGAGTTTCGAAACCCGTGGTGGGCAGAGCACAGATAGCCCATTGTGTAGCTTTGTGCTTAATTCCAAACAAACAAACAAACTAATATTTGATTATTTTCAGCATGATTTAATATAATAATAACGTTTAATACTCATCC